CCAGGGGCCGATGTGGGGGAGTTCTTGAGGTACGGCTCAATGAAGTCGCGAGCCATGGAGATGCGGCTGTACACGCCTGGCTTGTTTTTTTTTGCACAATCAAGGCCCCAGCTGACCACCCCCACCAACTTTGCAGAACCGCCGGTTTCCGCCGTCAGGGGTCCACCAGAGTCACCTTGGCACGAATCTTCGCCCACCTTGCCGCCGGAGCACAACATGCTGGCGTCGACGGAGGCCCCAGACAACCACTTGGCGCACTGTTGGTTGCTGACTGTATCCACCCTGACTTCCAACAAGACCTTGGACATAGACCCGCCCGTAGACGTGGTGCCCCAGCCACGCACAACCGTGGGGGTGTTGGCTGCCACAGTGTCGAAGGACACTTCCACGGCCGGAAACTTGGAGTCGCGCTCCAAAATCAACACGCCAATGTCGTACGCGTTGTTGGCGGCGTTGTTCTTAGGATGTTTGATCGCTTGCTTGACCCTGATCTGCTCACCGTCCTGGGCGCCACTGAGGTAGTGCGACCCAATGGCCACATAATTGACACCTCCTCTCATGCAGTGGGCGGCGGTCAAGACGACGTTGGGGGCGATCAAACTGCCTCCGCACGAAGTGCGTCCAGAGGCGGAGGAGCGAAGTCCTGTCACGTACAAGTGTTTTCCAACGGCGGCTTCCTTGCCCCCGACGATTTTGAGATGGGCAACGACGGAGGTGAAGAGCGCAGATAATATAAAGGCGACTTTCATGGTGAAGGAAGATTGATGAATGACGCCCGGGAGCATTGGGTTGTGTTCGATCCACGTTTTGACATGGATGATGCAGATGCTGGGATGGGTAGAGAAATCTGTAAAAATAAAATTGTCTACGTTTGTGAGTCTGGATATTTCAAGAGCATGGTGAACTGTCTTTCCGGAGGTACGTTGGACGTACAATGGTGGCAAATTGTTTGCTTTAGATTAGACTGCTCTGGTATGTGTCGTCCAAGTCGTCAATACCTTTGCCCGATGCACCATTTATATGCACGTATACAGATCATGCTGGAGAAACAGTGAACAACGTGAGTTGCTGTCTGCGTACTATTAATAGTACTGCCTAAGGCCTACTACGGGTAGTACAACTGGTTTTATCTCAGGTATTCACATACTGTAAGTACGGAATGAACCAAGTGTGATGTTGTTGAAATTATATCAGGGCTTGTCTCTACGTGAACTTCACGTACGGAGTGGTAGCAGGAGGATATTTTGGGACTAATTCCCCCACAACATGTATACTGTACCCTACCTTCAAAACACCCAAACTACAGTATACCTTTACAGTCAATGGGGGAATTCTGAGATACTACTGTACTGTACCTTAAAAATCAGGACGCCTGAACTGAGGATTGATTGCACAAATAAGTACAGTGGGGACATGCGGGAACTGGACGAAAACTCATCATAACACGAAGTTATGTAAGGCCAAAATCGAGGCATTTCTGGATGGCGAAAGCAAATTCTGTAGTTTCTTCGGAGTCATCCAACTTGTTGGAGAGGGACTTTGGCTGCTGTACTGATACGCTTTATATTGCTCACTGCAAGTGTAGTGCTTGCATATTCAGAAAATTCGCGCTGTAAACTGAGCAGTTCCGGATACTGCATTACATTTGCGGATGATATATTTTTATTGCGCATGTGTTTTGGTGGTACTCCGACGGCATGTCGACATGCACATGTACCGAAAATGGACGAAATTCGATGACGCTTTTCTCGAACCGTGTGATACTTCGCGCAATCCTACTGATACTACAAGATAGCCCATTACTAGCTCAGCCTATGCAGCATAGTCTACGCATGCACAGCTCTCTCTATCATAATGCATCTTACCCGCATGTACACGCTTGTTTTTTGAAATACGACGAATTTGGCAAGTTCGAAGTTGTCTTTCTCTACAGTTATTGATTCAGGCGACATGCAATAAGGTGTTGTAGATAGTATTGGTTGTTGTTATGAGGGGTGGAGAGTTTCGTGACCCGTTGTGCAGTATGCATTGAGAAATCGCTGACCTGCATCGCGCCTTTCCTGCACAATCTGCAGGATGCATGCATACTAGATTGTTTTGCAAAACGTAAATAATTATGGGGATGAATAAAAATACGCATACTTAATACAAATATCAGCATAAAGATGTTCAAGCGAATAATAATATGTGACTTTCGCACGCATGTATACGTTTGTTTCCGTGGAAGTGGCAGATCAGAACCTGGTTGACTCGCGCGTGACAACTTGAATAGAGTTGCATGTACTCCCTCGACAATGGTACACCATGATTTGAAGGAATCAAGGACCTTTAATTCTTCACAGTGATGTGTTTGTGTACTGTTCCCGCATCTCCTGGTGGGATTTCTAATTATATAGTAGCACCAGCAGCGTTTTAGACTATCCCAAAAAGTGCAAATTATTGGGATATCGGAGGCAAATGGGGACAGAATCACCCGGATAACCCCCAAAATATCCGTACTGCAACCTGAAGTAACGGTACAATCGAAGTTCTGGGTTATGGGGAAAATATTTGGGGATGCGGCGGAGATGCTCTAAATATCAGTTATTACAAGAAAACTATCAATTATTACAGGAGTCGCAATAGATTAATCCGTCGCAATACATATACACTATACGGTACACCTGAATTGATGTAAAAAAGCCAATCAAAAGTGGTAGAGCATGAGAAAGATTGTGTTGTGATCGAATAAAGTCGGACATCTCATCCGACTCAATTCTGATTGGCTTAAATTCGACCTAATTATCTTGCCTTTACTTGTTGCTGCATCATTTGGGGTCACAGTCTGTCAATTCCGACTCTCATTGTACTCACTCCTACATCCACAATTTTGAGAAATACTGTAAGGGGAGCGCCCAATATATGCGGGTGCCGTGCAATCCCACTAAGTAGGGTGTATATGCGGGAATGCCATAAAAACCCGGATTAGAGCAACTTATGTCTCCCGTCTACGTTTTCTAGCCAGGCGTACACATGTGACCATCTCCATCTGGGACATACTGTACGAAGCTGACGTCCAAGTTCAGTGAAACCCCAGGATCATTGGCCATTATAGTGCCAAATGCAATGCAGCTATCTATAGCCGTGGCCGAGGTTAAGGGACGACCCAAACCAGTGCCAATCGTGCTGTTATAAATGTTTTGGAACTCCTGCACCGCGAACTTCCACTCACACAAGATATTTCCTTGATTCTTGGTCAAGTCCCGCGACTTGATCTTTGAACAGCAAGCTAGCAACGACAGTACAGTACAGTACACCTTAGAGGCTGGTACTACTGGTGGTGTGGAGCATCCGCCAGGGGGATCCTCCCTCTGGCGGATGCTCCACACCTCCAGTAGTACTAACCAACCACTACTACCACAGCCACACCCACCACAGCAATCACTACTGCTCATCCTACGACCACTAGAGAAAGACCAGTCACTACTACCACATCCACACCCACCATCACAGCAATCACTACTGCTCATCCTACGACCACTAGAGAAAGACCAGTCACTACTACCACATCCACACCCACCATCACAGCAATCACTACTGCTCATCCTACGACCACCACAGCCAGACCTATCACTACTACCACACCTCCAGTAGTACCAGGCTCTAAGGTACTGTCGTTGCTAGCTGGCGGGTTGCAGGCAAAACTTCATTATGTTGTTCATCTACCATGGTCAAAGCACTTACTAGTATATATAACCAATCAATGGATACAGGACATTCGGTCCGACTTTCTTCTGTCAATTTCTCACATCTGGTTTTGACTTCGCTTGTGTAAATAATAAATATTACAACGAACAAGAAAGTCGGACAAATGGTCCGACGATCACTTGGTTCCTGTATATCCTGTCCGACTTTTTTCCACTAATGTAAAATTTTACCGGTAGACGGGAAATCGGCCAGATTTACGGTCGCGACTGTAAAATACTACGGTAGTACAGTTTTGACGTATTAGCCAATAACATGCTATCAATGGATAATTTTGTCCAATCATGTGCGTTATGGAGTCAACAATCAGTAGGTTCAGAAATGGAATCAGCCAAGGCCGTTCGTGGCTCCAACTTAACGACCGACGATGACTGCCAGCTTGTCCGGTCATGGATCAACATCTCTCAAAATGCGTCCAAGGGTGGGTAGTACTCATCACGCATCACCACACCGTCCATGATTCGTTCAAACAGCGGTCTGGCCATTCGAAAACAACGGCGAAACTTGGCTTCGCCGTAGATTGGATTGGGGCCTAAGAGTATCCCCACCCCTGACGCTAAACCAAAAACTCTAAAACCAGATCTAAAGTGGGATCACGCAAAATAATTTAGCGTTTTTCATCATATTTCACACCGGTTGCCAAACAGCGATTGACATTGTGAACTCTATTCGCATGGATGCACGGCACCAAGCCGCAGAATCGCCTGGATAAAAGTAGTTCAGGGCAAGCAAGCCAACAAGTCAGGGAATGAACTACTAGCAGGGAATATCGCATAGAAAAGCTTAGAAAGCCGCATCAGTAGTAGCACTACGTTGCCGGTACTAGTGCGGTTGCGACCTATACTCGCGTCTACGCTTACATGCGCTTGAAAACGAACTGATACACAATATTTGATTGATAGTCTACGCATGCGTTAACAGAAATCCAAAAGTCGCAATAGAGGGGGAGGGGGCATGCTCCGTTGGTGCAGTGCTGGGGCAACGCATGCAGGCGCTGGTTCCACGCGACCTGGTCGTCCTTGCATCTGTTCAGGCGCCAACTTTCAGTGTGCTTCCTACAAGAATCGCAATACCGTAAGGTTAACATCGTCGGTCGGCGAGGTTGGCACATGCCGAAGGACGACTGCCGCCATGGCCAATGCTGACAGTCACCCTTCACCATACAAACGTCACATGCAGTTGCGTCGATGAGTTACACAAGATAGGACTCATGGACTCACTCTAACTTAGCGTTGAGCGGCGCTTTGCGCTACAGTATGTGGGGCCGGCAGGACACCCACCTGTACTTGGCCGACATGGCGTCATGCCAATGCAACCAGGTAAATGTGTTGGGAATTGTATGCACTTGAAAATGTATTGCTGATTGTATGCTGGCCAGAACTAACCAATCGGTCAAATCTGACGAATAATCGGACTTTAGCGTGCCGGATATAGCGTGCGGGAATTAACAGTCCACGACGAGCTTACAGTTAACAGTAAGCTGGCATTCACTGAAAAAATACCGGATTTTGCAGTATTTTACCCCAAAACATGCGTATAAAAAAGCTGGCATTAAACTCTAGCATTGAAATACTTTGAAACAGCATATCCTGTCATATATGTAACTTTAAACGAAATTTCTTGTCGAAATATCACCTCAATTTCAAATAACCTATAATTAATTATATTTTGAACGTTGAAATCCAATATAATATGGTAGAGGTTTAAATATTTCCGTCACCTCTATTATATAATGGTGCACTGGCTCCATTGATTTTACTGATTCCATGTATTTCAAGTTCGTTTCGGTCGACAGCATGATATCTACCCGCAGTACCATCGACACCGTGGCATTCGATGAGATATGCAGATTTGTGCAGGCAAATCGAAGCCGCATCTTGTCGAGGGATGAAATACTGGATATACTGCGTCTGCACGCGCATCTACGGCTCGAACATGCAGCTAACCACACAACTGGCGACGTCTCAAAACAAATCTCAGTGATGCTTGGTCGTGGTAAACCACAAGTACAGAGTGTATGGAAGGACTACATTGATTCAAAATCTATCGTTGTTGCTTCTACATCGACCAACACTGCCGCCAAATTAACACGCATCCCACGAACGATCGATGTCATATCGTCCGTCCAGAAGTTTGTCCGCGAGAAGAGGCAACTTTGACCTCGTGTTGTTGCTATCGATGTATTGTAGCATTTGGCAAACAGCGGTGTCCTACTGGTCGACCGAACGGACAAGCTGGCGTCCGAATCTGCATTGCGGAAAGTCCAGCGGTTCCTTTTGCACTGTGGTTACAACCGTGGCAACAAGAAGGGGAAAAAGTCCCTGGCGTTGACTGAAAAGAACACCTTGCTGCGTGACCTATATGTCAGACGTATGTGCGTGGCCACACAACATATCGATCCACGCAACCGCAGAACAGTTTTCTACACAGACGAAAGCTTTGTTCATCATCACTACAACAAAAATGACATTTCCCTGCATGACCCTACCGACGAGTTGGATATTCATCATTCCAACTTGCAGCCTATCGAGGTTGTGTGGGCTATCATAAAAGGAAACGTCGGAAGACGGTATCAAGACGACACAACATTTCAGGAAGTTGGCCAGCGGTTGGATGCAGCGTGCGCCAACTTGACGTCGCACTCTATCTTTGGTTACATTCGAAAGGCGGAGTACGACCTGTTAGATCTACATAGACATGTGTCATATATTGACGACGACAACTACCAAGAGGACAATGAAGTGGCAGGCGACGGATCGGACGGTACCGTGTCCAGTTCGGCTTCTCAAGACTCAGCCAACGATGCTGGATTTTAGGACTTTGAAATTGTATAATTGCATAAGTTTATAATTTGGTGCCAAAATTTGCTATTGTTTTACGCAGTTTGTTGCCTCTGACACGTACTCTCACACTTGATGAAACCGGATAAGTATCCGTTAAGTTCCCTTGGTGCTGTCGTGGATCATAAAACGCTAAAATCTGACTGAAAAAATACAGTTTTGGAGTTTTAGCGCCACGAGTGGGGATGCTCTAAGTAGTACTCAGTAGGTAAATCCGAGCATGCCCAGCCTCGCTATCTCGTGGTAGGTTTGGCTGGCGGTTGGCAGTAGAGCCTTTAGGGCGTGCAGAAGACTGATGAAAGCCAAGAATCTCCCAAGCTTGATCCATGTCATCATCGTCGTCCTCCCACACCATGCCCGTGCGCACCAGGCGTTCATTTCCGGATAAAAACATTATTCGGTTGACGAAAATCAAAATACAGGAACTGTAAAACGGTATTTTACAGTCTGATTATACAGTCGCACCGGTGGGGATGCCCTAAGTTATCGCTCGTATGCATCCAAACCTTTCACCACCATCAAAAATTTTGCCGCGCTCAGAACTGGGTTGTTCTTTCATCGTGCGGTAGTATTGGTAACATGTAATGTATACTATGCTGAATGTGCTGTTGTACTGTGTATAGCGCACTATAAGGGCTTCTGTTTGTGTTAAAGCGCGTTGGTGTGTCGTGCAACGCTTGATGATTAATTTCATGGAGTGCTATGTACGTGAACAATTAATTTATGTATTTGTATGCCAAGGGCATTACTCAATTAACCAAGGGCAATTCGGACTGCTTCGACGATCTGTACTTGCTACACCGTGACTAGCACAACTCTTGAAGTGCCGCACAGTTACGCTGCGAACGTTAGGCTTTGTTTTTGCTCCCGTCGTTATCCGGACAGGAACCCCTTGCGGAGGCCGAATTAAATTGCAATCTGAGGCCTCTTACTACGAATTAATTTTCTGGTCTATTTTAAGTCTAATCATTTCGTCCAATGCAAATACGCCAACAATGCACATCTTTCAACCGCACGATAATGGCGTACAACTGCACGACGAATGGCGGCCTGCTGCACATAATGGAGACTAACGGCCTTACCGATCATGAGACCATGAGCCGACCTCTAAAAAGGCTCATAGGTCTTTCTGCAGCGCCATCAGAACAGGCTTACTATGACGGGGTAGTCACTTTATTTCATTGATGTGTTTGGCGAGCAACTAAAACGCCTTGCCGAATTTACTAACTACAGTACTCCAGGCACTTCAACTACGCACATTATGCCAGGGTGCTAAGGTAAACTATCAATATCGCGAACGCTTTTTGTACCCTAAAATGTAAAATGTTTGAAGAATTCCATTACAAAAAGTCCGTCGAATAAAAAAGACTAAGGGTATATAAATCCAGCTGCATTTTTTAGTGCCAAGAAATGCCTCAAATATCCTAATAATCGATTTGTATTTGAAATTATAAAGTAACGTTAAAGAATTGGTGAAACAATTTTGGCTTGTATTTCGCATTAGAGTGATTTTGCTAACTTGAAATTACCTGTGAAAATTCTGGATACTCCAGAAACGAAAATCCTATGTGAAATGATTTTGCTACATCAAAATTTGTTGTGAAAGTGTGCATCCTGGCATGGACGAGCATGACACTATTGCTGGAAGAGTCCCAAGAGCATACACGAGCGATACACATACCTCGCGGCCGGTTCAACCTCATGGCACAAAGCTATTTAACGTGCGACTTCCACTTTCGCTTTAAGAAAAACGAGATTCAGCAATTGAAAGTGCTGCTGGAGATTCCCGACCCGATAATCACGCCCCAGCGCTACAACGCAAGCGCCGAAGAAGCCCTCTGCATCCTGTTGAATCGTTTTACGTGTTGAATCGCACGTCGTGAACGATTCAACAGGATGCAGTGGGCTCCTTCGTCGCTGAACAGCTGTTCGCGCTCATCGTACTCCTCGTCTGTTCCAGACGCGCGAAGGGCAGCAAGGTTTGGTTCTTGAACAGAAGATAATAAGTCGTCATAGCGTATTCGTGCTCTGCTGACCGTTATGGCTTGGCCATAGATGCATTGGAGATGCTCTGTGACCTCTGTCCAGCGCTTCTTGGCCTCGCCATGGGGCGCTTCGAAGGGCCTAACATGAATGACTTCCTTAAGAAGCTCGACGTCGGTGCACCCCTTAAAGCGGAAGGCTGTCTTACGCTTCAGCACGGACTCGGACTCTTTGTCCTCTACCGTGATTTTTCTCGAACAAATTTGACTGTGGATCCACCTATTTGTTAACAGTGATTTTTCCACAAATAATTATATCTAGCAAAATCACTCTATTCTCAGACTTACCCATGGCTCGGCTCTTCAACCAAGGTGGAACAACGATATCTTTAATTACGTGTGTCTCAAACCATGGTAGTGAATACATGGTAGTGAAATACGAAGTGGGTAACGAACCCCCTGAAGTGTATAGAATTACGCTGAGCGAGGCATTCTCATCAATCATAGGCATGCACTGCTGTCGATTTCTCGATGTGTTTGGGTGACCTCACGAAAGCAGAATATGGCGATTAGTCCAGCGTCCGTCGTATGTGGTGTTCAATTTGAACGCGACAGAAGCAACATGGAATCACTGACATTTCCATATTCACAGTCAGTACATGCGCTTTCTTCTGAGTCACCGGTTAGGTGGTGGTGCATCGAGTGGAATGTGAGGCTTCGATACCACGCCCATTTTGTTTGAACTTTCGGCATCATAAACCGTCGACACACAGGCGCATTCACGAACTCAACAGCGCCATTGGATTCAACTTCAACCGTCAAGGATCCATTCACCCCTGCTACCATTGGAACAACAGTACTGTACTATTGTACGTAGAATTTGGTAAAAATCTTGAGGAGTAAGGGAGTTGAACCCTTGACCGTTGGGTCTGGAATCCAACGCTCTACCACTGAGCTAACCCCCCAAGTATTCTTGCCTTGAATAGCAACATGTTCAACGATTTGCTTATGTCAGTCGAACAATCGCGTGGAGTTCGACCAGCAACGCGGCATCGACTTTCGCAGCAACACAATCGTGACATGACATATAATACTAGTACAAGCTATACGAGTAACATACTAGTACTAGTACTAGTACTATTAATAGTAATATTATAAGCATGAATAAAAATAGTGAGGAGTAAGGGAGTTGAACCCTTGACCGTTGGGTCTGGAATCCAACGCTCTACCACTGAGCTAACCCCCCGTTGATATTTTGTTGTTTTGCATAGTAGTTCAGATACAAGTATCTATAATCAATTCAACCTTGTAGGTACGTTGTCGACAAAAACTCTCGAAAGGGCAAGGTGCCGCCCATCAAGGACTCTTGTTGCGTTCATGAGATGCAGCAGCAACACTTACAGTAGTGCAAACACTGTACGAATAGTATGATTAGTAGTAGTACTATTGGTGTGATTGATTGAGCTTTACAGACAAATCCGAGCTGTGTTGTGGAAGCAAATCAACATTCAACGACCCAGCGGGACGTTCATTCCACATCTCATGCCCACGAGACAGCATAGTTTCAAATCCGCCAGTCTCCGCATGCATACTAGTACGTTCGGGTTGTTTCGATCAACTTGTTCGCTTGATGGACTTACGCATGGAACTATATTAACCTATATATGATACTAATTGGGATGGCCACATTCGACGGCTACATCATCGCGCGTGCCCACCGGGTGGTTTACTCGTCGTCGGCGGCGGCGGTGGCCTTGGAGTCGGTCTTGATCTTCAACTCCTTGTAGTACTCGTCAAACGACTTGAGTTCCGATGTCGCGTACGATTTCCAGATCGAGCCAGCGCCCAGGGCAAGCACAACGGCTGTGGCGACTTCTTTGATCGCGTTTCCTTTGGCCATGGTGATGTGTGTGTGTTTGAGGGCGATCAAATTGAACAATGGCCTCCAACGGCGAGTTGTGTGTTTATTTGCCGTGACATGGAACATGCAAGTTCACGTTTGATGGGACCATACAAATTGCCATATATATATATGCACCAACGCAAAGACACGCAAGATGGCGTCGTTGGAATTAACGTATCTTTGCACAGCAGACGAGAGAATCCATTAGAAGTGGTGAGTAAGACGATGGACTGCTGATACACTCGTTCAAGCAACGTTAACGGACGCTACAAGATAAAGATGGCGCTGCGTACGTGAGGTGAGTGTTCCTTCGGCCTGTATGCAGTCGAAGTACTGACATGTACTTGGGATATCAAGCGTTGACACGGAGTATCACATACAAGTAGAATGTGCTTGCTTACTAAATAAAGGATTCCAACGCCGGATTGTAAAAAACTAACGCGTTTTACTGGCTTGAAATTAAAAAAACGCTTTCAGCGGTTCAAGGCAAAGTCAATTTGTAGGTTGCATGAACAAGTACTATAATCCTGTAGTATGTATGTACTAATACAACTAACGACGGGTAGTAACTAACAGTAAGAAGTGCCTTGGTGCAATGGTTGGACAACGACACCACAAACACTTGGATGTCGTCACAAATACTGTCGTAAAGCGATTCGTCTCGACCAACCCCCGCACCCACTTCCCCTTCTACTCCCACTTGTACGTTTGGCAGATCACGTTTAGAGGATTTGACAACTATAATCCCCCCGAGTTCCCTAGGTGGTTGCCATCCGCCCAAAACACGTCGTTTATATGCCACACGTTGTGACATACCTTGACTTGACAATTTGGGTTCTACCTTGCTTTACGAACGGCACCACACTCCGTCCTCGGCCCTTTCGCAACCAGCTTTGGACACATCCGTCATCACACACCACTTGACAGTAGAAAAGTAGCAGTCCAAACAAGACCCGCAATTGTTGGCTGGAGGGGACAATTTGGCTGTGACGACCTTGCATGGGTTTCTGGGGGAGTTGGTGTGCGTTTTTTTAATCGGCTTGTACGAGTGCTTGGGGGTGTTGGACGGCGTCAAGGAAGGAACTGTGGTCGGGGCAATGGTAGACCCATTCGTAGATTGAGGGGGGCAGTCATCGTGTTGTCGGCGCTTTCGACTTTAGGGCGGAAGACGGAGAACTTGAACGGGGAGTTAGCGACTTGGTCGATGGCTGCACAGGGCTGGCATCCATTTCCACTGCCTAAGGCGTCATAGGGGGGAGAAGTTGGATACCTACCTGGCAATGTGTGGATCGTCGTGGGCCTACAAATGAACACGAGGGTTGATTGATAACTATCGTGATGTGGTGTTCAGGCTGTTGGGTTGCCCAGGCTTTTATGGTTTGACCCGCGCCGTCGTGTCCCCTTCACATCCAATCCGGTTGTACATCCGAATCATATGGTTGGCGAAAGCTCATCTGTCGACTGCCGAAACGACTCTTCCCATTCTGACATCGTTTGATGATGACACACCTTGCATGTAGTGTAAAACAGTTGTTGCATGGATTTTCGTACGGAGAAACACATCGTAGCTTTCGAAATGCGAAATATTGAGTAACTACATAGTACGACTGAAGATGCACCACAAAACATGAATTCATCATAACGTAAAAAACCAATTTAAGATAACTTATTTGGAGGCGTCGGAGTAGAATGGACATAACTTTTGAGTCCGTTATGATATTTGAGTTTTCAATAGTGATTCCAATAGACAAGACGCGCCTCTTTCAGTTCATAATCGAATCATCAGTTTAGGCGATGAACTTCACAGGTAAATTTGTTACTTTCTAAGCATTTGTACTCACATTTTGATAACCAATTTAGGATAACATTTTTTATCTTAATTTATGTATGTGTTTGAGCATTGAAATTTTGTGTTTAGGGTAAGTGTTTACAACAGGTGGCATATAATTTATACAAGGGTACTGTTTTATAGAGTTAAATTTCTGTTGTGGAGGGATGTCCACCGAGTTTAACTCTCGACAAAACCTCAGATCCAACCCAATGTGGCCCGTGTCGACTAGGGAAGTTCAACCCAATCTTGAATGACTATTACCAATGGCTTCTACGCCGTTTTTGCATTTCATTCACGTGACGGAATGGCCAGCATTATATGATAGAGGTTTTGACTCGAACAAATAACGAGGTGTGATTGGGCAATACAAAGTGATCCTAAATTGGTTAAGTTATCTTAAATTGGTTTTTTACGTTACTTACAAACAGAGCAGCCAACGTTTAACTTTAGTTGCCGCACCACAACGTTCCATAGTAACCAGTGCAGTAATCGCAGTCGTTCTTGGCAAAGTCACTCAAACAGATGTCTCGATCAGGATAGTAGCAACGGCTGCATGTGGCACAGCCATGCTTGGTTGAGGCAATCGTGGGGTTCGCAGTGTTAGGTGTCGAAGTCGAACGCTGCCTGCCCCCGTTGAACTCGACGATTTCTTTGGCAAACTGAAGGAGCCCCTTGTACACTTCGGTGCCGCGAGTACGAATGGTCGATGCGGGGGCGACAAAGTCCGAACCGGCGATTTCAAACGTCAGCACGGGCTTCTTGTACGTGCGGTAGTGGTAGTCGTCAAAACTCCCATACGCAGGGTACATCGTGGCGCTGGTTTCCGCCTTGTAGTTGGAGCCCATTTGCGCTTGAATGTTGCGGCCAAGGAGTTGAAACTTTTCGTCTTCATCGCCCCCGATGGGGGACATAGTGTCGCCGTAGGGGTACAAAACCAAGCCTGCGTACGCGTGAATGTCGACCCAGCCGGCGATCTTGTCGTTGTTGGATTTGAGCCAATCCGCAATGCCCTTAGTTTCCGGCTCGCTGAACGCGGATGGACCAGGGTAGGTTTCTTCGGACGGACCAGGGGGCTTGGGGTTCTGGTAGAACGACGGCCAGTTGCGGTTCAAGTCAACTTGATTGGCGTTCTTGCGCTGGTACCGGTTGCCGCTCCACGTCATGTCGTAGCCGTCGATATTGGCAATGGGCACAAAGACCAAGTCGTACAAGTCGGTGGCGGTGGTTTTGTTGGCAGCAATATCGTCCAGCATCGACGACAGCGCAAATAAGTTAGACGACCCGGCGATCCACTCTCGAGCGTGCAGCAGGCTTTGGAAGTACAACGACTGCTCCTTGCCCCCGTTCGTGCTCAGCTTGTAGCCATAGACCGTTTGCCCTTGAAACGTCTTGGACACGGGAAACTTGTTCAGGAGGTTAGTGTTTTGGCTGATGAGGGTGTCGACAAACTGAAAGATTTGCTTGGACGTGCGGAAGCAGTTGTGGAACGCATTGGCCGCGTACTGCCCCGGTTGCAGCAGCGGAAGGTAGTGCGCATTGGACGTATGGCACTTTCGGTTCGTGTCGGCGTCGTCTCGAATGGCTCGCACTTGGGCGGGCGAGCGAAAGACATTGTCAATGTCACGGATCCGAGACGCAGGATGGCTTGCAGTAGTGGTCAATGCCAACACAGCCACCACAGCGGCAGATAGAACGCGCATGTTGAATTGAGTAATGACAATGCACGATCAAGGACGAGACTGCAGTTCGAACGGTGTAGTTGGGACGGATGAGTGATCACTTTACCGCCCACACGACTATACCATCTGCATCTGAGTCGCTCGCACCCAAGAACTTGTAACTACGTAGTCCTAATTTGTAACGTTGGGTACTCCGAGTATCAATGTAGAGTTCCATCAGAATAAAAACGTTAGACTCATTTTACACTGTTAGATAACAGCGACTCGGGGAATTTCCAAATCTCCACACTCAGGCAACTTTTGCAACCTCCGAAACTTGGAGATTGTAGCTGGAATAATGCTTTACAACCGCATACCGATCATATTGCGTTTTGCAGTCGTATTGCATGAGAAAAACAAGTAAATTTGACACCATTTTGAGAATCAATTTACAGTTAACTGTGACGTAGAAAACCAATTTACTGTTAAGGTGCTCGAACCATTTAATGGTACACTTGAATCAGCCAATCAAATGTAGTCAACATACTGCCTGTCGTGTGTTGTTCTGTTACGCACAACTGTATAATTGAATTACCTGTCTGGATTTAGTATTTAACTGCTGAAATCACATAACCTAACCACACAAAAATATGCAAATGGGTATACAAAATATAAGATAACAGTGTGCACCATTGATTCATTCTCACTTTTTGAGTACATTTGCTTCGAAAATGATATTTATGCATGTCAAATAGACCTTGAAACACGATTATTTGAATGTCCAATGAATCAACTCCGCTTTGGTATCATCCAGCACTTTTCAGAATTTGAATCTGATGCATCCATGCTGAGCTTCGTTCCTTCCACGGCAGCGTCTCGGAAAAAGTTCTTAACGTTAACAGTAAATTGGTTTTCTACGTTAAGACGCATCTTGTTATCTTGATCAAAGAATGATCATTTCCTTACAAATTACAAATTTTGTGTTTAGGGTATTCGATTATAGAGGTTATAAATTCGCAAGGAGCTTCCAATATGCATTCTCCCCGTTCCGGATAGACAATGCGAGGATATTTATTTGCAAAGGTTTTTTTCGACTATTTTTGCGCCGAATGATTGGTTTTTCAACATAGATCTTAATTTATGTTTATGTTAACGTAAATGACCAATTTATGATCACTGTACCAATTTATGATCTTTCTGTATCAGCCAATCGCATCGCAATATTTTTAGGCGGCAAACCTCTCGTAAATTATACGCTCGAGTTTCAAATCCCAAACAAATCCCAATCACAGCTTTGATGGTCAATGTCGTACTCCGGAGTACATGCTTGCATCTTAGAATACCTTGTTCACTGTGTCACTTGTCTATCTGTTTCGAGTGCCATGGTTTCTTGTCGTTATTGGAAATGCGAGAGTTCAAGTACATCTCTTGAAACACATAACCTTGAAAAATGATATTTTTCCTCAACAATACGTACCCTATCCGCACAATTTGTAAGCAAGTTGCCATACATAGTTCAAGCTTAAAAAAGGCATCATAAATTGGTCTCCAAAAACAGAGTAAACTTGCTTGGAAAGTCTGACTTTTGTACCTGGACAATATTCTTAAAGGCGATAATATGATGATGAGGTTAAAGCAACATGTTTCGTTGTTAACAATCACTTTACAGAATGTGAAAATTGTTCCTGAGACCGGAGATATGTGAATTCTTCGATGACGCCGTCGGAAAAGTGATCATAAATAAATGGTCATTTACGTTAGTCATCTGTCTTAAATTGGGATTTTTACTTCGAAGTACTTCGACTTAGCACATAGCTCTTGTGCGCAGGTGGAGAAGCGCTATCTTCCAGTAACTACAGGATGCCGAATCCAGAAACCTCCACGAACAGTGTAAACGGAAACAATGCATCATCGATGTAACCGTGCCCATCATCCGTTTGCTATCCAGATGACACCACGTCTGTCCCCTAAACGATACTTTGTGTCGTTCACCGGCCTGAACGACACCCTTGTCCACCAATCAAACAACGTTGGTTGCGCGTAGCTTAGTGATAGCGTTAGTGTATTAACTATTCATTCTTACTTCTACCATCATCTGCGCATTCCTCTGCGTACTCCACCTTGGGGCAGCACTCCACGTTCGTCCAGTAGACCCCCGTTATGTCACCTCGTCAGCACGAACCCCCCGTCGTTCAACGTGTACGAATAATGCAAAAATCACGTTGTTTATCGTGTCAAATCACGGATTTGGCACAATATCTTGGATAGATTCACCATGAGTACGGAACGATACAATGAAATAGGGCAATTCAAACTTTTGGGGCATTTACAGTAGTCGACACCAACGAATCACTATTTTTTCTTCATAAACTTGTCCAGGTATACATACTTGGAGTTCTTTGGCTAAAATATTCACTGACAAAATGAATATATGCATTACCAAAGTTTATTATCCTACTCAGAGTCGCCACCATCGTCACTTGAATTGTCACTGTCATCAGATGACTCTTCATCGGATACGAGTGTATCGATTTGCACAAGATGCTCGTGCAACTTCTTCAACTTCTCTTGTGCAACACGTACACACCCTTTGATGGAGTTTTGGTTTCAGGTTGGCAAATGCAGCTTCGAGGCGAACTTTCACATCCGCGAACTTCGTCATGTCCGTGTATTGTCGACCAACCTCACCCTTCACAATGGCAATCGGCTGCAGATCCGAATGATGGGGAGGAGTGTACACAACGCAATGCCCACGACGCTTGGCCATTTCCACGATGACGGGGTGAATGTGTGCTTTAATGTGAGATGCCAGCATATCCCACAGCTCACTCTTGAACTCCTTGCCAGTGGTTTGAATACCGTACAAACGACATGCATCCAGCAGAATGGACTTGCGACGTCCACTCGTAGGTGTTGACTCGGGCAGGCCTTTGTGGTGCCTGGCGTTGTCGAGTACGATGAGGGCTTTGGTAACCCCGCTAGCATCCATTTCGTCCAGAAGGCGACCGAACCACTTGACGTAGTATGCGTGATCGAACATGCCGTGGTAATCTTTCGGCTCCTTTCCTCGGGACTTCCCTCGGGTGAAAATGTCGAGAGCCATGACCTTGCTGGCCATCGTTGGGGAATCGAGTATCCTGGCAACGAAAAAATATCGCCGACCCTTGTGCTTCTCCTTGCTCTGGACGTCGGTCTCGTCGGATGGGTCGTACAGGTCTTGATGGTGGGACTTGTAGTGATGGTATATATACGATTCGTCCGTATACACGACATTGGGTCGTGTTGCAGCCGTCGAGTGAGGATGCATGAGTTTCACATACGTGTCGCGCGCAAGGGCGTTGGCCTTGGACATGTGGTATGTCGATGAGCCCATTCGGCGGCCTCGCTTGTACCCTTGAGCCTTGAGGAACCGTTGCACGGCACGATACGATGCTGCGAACTGCTTCTTGGCATCCACATCGATGTCGAGGACACACATCTCCTTGAGGTACATCATGACCTCGACAGCCGTTGTGCGCGTTCTGGTTGCGCGACGGTCCCGTACAAACTGCTGGGCTATCTGGGTTACCAGCTTCGTGCGTGGCACTTTGGTTATGTGTGTCGTGCGGTTACCAGGAGTAGCAGCAGTCACAGTCTGTGAGGCCTGGTACTCCTGCCAAACATCCTGCACGAGGTTGAGGTTGCGACCAAGAGCGTCCGCAACTTGTTTCGATGCAGCTTTAGTGTATTGGCTGCGGAACCATGCATGCAGACGAAGAATGTCGAGTCGCTCTTCACGTATCACAGTGCGATGCCTCGCAGTCTTGACAAAAGCAAAGCACGTGTCGATAGATGGATCCATGGAGTAACAATGAAGGCAATGAAAGATAGTCCTTGACACGTAGTCTATATTTATATTTGAGAGGAAATAGAAATGGAGAGTACCCCAATGTTGCCATATATAGAACCTCTATAAACGAATATTAAATTTACACATAAAGTTACACAGGATATTGAGTTGCCGGGTGAAAATTGACAGTCATTCTGCTTCTTCATCCAGTTTTTTTAAGAGTTATCTACTTTGGTGGGGATCAAATGTCACAGTACAATTCCCCTCGAAATCCCTACAGATTACAGGTGGTTTCATTGAAATCCAATCAGATTTGACTTAGATATGGAAACATAACAGTTCAATGGTGTCGAGAACTGTTAGTCAATAGGGATATACGATGATTGGGACGAAGGTTGACCATGCAGCCACCATGATGACCGTATACACAGCGAGTTCGTCGATTTATCACCACTACCAGTCTGAATTAAAGTTTGTGCCTCCGATTTGAATCTAGTTTTCATCAAACTGGTGGTGATACCGGTAGAATTGTAGGACAAACTCAACCTTCAATGCTGTACTGCAAACTCATAAATGATAAAA